TCATTAAATATGAAATGTCTGATTTTGAATCAAAAGCTTAGTCTATTATATCTCAAACAAGAAGCAGTACAATTAATCAAAGTATGCACCTAAACTATTGACAGTTTTGCCATTTTAATGGTAGCTTGGTATGAAATCATGCCAAGTTGTTTTACACTGCTTGCTGAGAAATTGAGTATTTTTCCTTGCAAGATGTTGTCCAAAGCCCGGAAGAATTGGTAGTCAATTGGTGCAAGGTCTGGGAAAGAAGGTGGATGACAGTTTCCACATCTAGCCTCTGTAGTTTGAGCAGCATTGTTTAAGCCACATGTGGTTGCACACTGCCTTGCAAGAGGGTGAGCCTGTCTCAGTTTTGGCTGCTCCATCACAAGCATCGTTATCATTTTATGCAATTGGGTGCAGTGGATATCCACTGCAATTGATTGACCAGGATTCCCGAAGTTGTGGTGGATAATCCCAGAACAATTTTGAAAAGATAATCACAAGACAAACTGCGTTCGAAGGAATGAAGATGTACCTTCACAATAAATATAAAAAACAACAAGTGTCAGGGGCTCGTAGCTCAGTGGTTAGGGTGCCAGCCGCAAGCTCTGGGGTTGGCAGGTTTGAACCTGGCCTAGGCTTGCTAAAAAAACAAAAAAAATTTGCTGGGCATTATGGCGGGTGCCTGTAATCCCAGCTACTTGGGAGACTGAGGCAACAGAATTGCTTGAGTTTAGGAGTTTGACGTTGCTGTCAGCTATGACACCACAGCACTCTACGGAGGATGACAAAGTGAGACTGTCTCAATAAAAAAAAAAAAAAAGTAAAAAAGAAGTGTCAAAGTGAAATGTCAGAGATATCAACTGTCAAATTTAGTTCTTAAGGAAATGGGACATTTCATAGTTAATGACCTCATAATAAGAAGAAAATGCTGAGGTATCATATTGTTAAAAGTTTAATCGTTCACAACGTCTAAAGCTCTTAATATTATAAACCTGCATCCATTGATTCTAACTTTAATTTCATCGAGACAGAAAAAACCTTGAGTTTGTAACTTTTACTTCTATACTGGACCCATGATGTCCTCTTGACCTTTTTTCTTCAACTTTCCTACTTGGATTGTGCTGCACTATATGCTATTTCCAATCCTGCTGTGATAATTTCAACTACCAGTCTTCTCTCAATCAGCTCGCTGTGTTGAATGATTCCTTCCCTACCAGTCATCCACTTAACACAGCTTCAGAACTCACTGTATTCTGCACGGTGTGTACTATATAAGCACTAAAAACTCTACATACTTTCTTGCAGTAATAAGTGTAGAGTTTTGGACTTCTTGTGGCAAACTATAAGCAACTTGAGGGCAGATGCTGTGGCACCTGCACATAGCAGCTCTCAGATATTTTTCTGAACAACTGAATTGGTGTTATCATTGCTCCCACAAGAATAGGCACAGCAGGCCCTCAGATTTAACAAATGAATAAATGAATAGGTAGATAGGTGTCTATTACCAGAATGTTCAGGAATGTTCAAAGAATTCCCTATTAGCAACTATTAGGAAACTATTATTAATCTTGTGAGTTGTGATGACTGTGATTAAGGTAAAAAAGTGTGCCTACTTTTAGAAATACATTTTGAAGTATTTATAAATATTTCAATATAAATATCATATGTATTTCTAAAAGTAGGGACTTTTTTTGCCTTCATAAGGTGAGACAGTAAGCTGACTGAGAGGACCAGTAGTTGAAATTATCATGGCAGGACTGGAAATTCCATGAAGCATATGGAATTTAAAGTACTTCAACAATAAAAAAAATACACAAGGCAATATAATAAAATAATCATTGTTAAATCTAGGTACATTTATATAACTAGTGTGCAGTCCATTCCTGGGTTACAGACGAGATAGGTACCTAAGAATGCCTTTAGATAGGAATTGTATATAAGTCAGATTAGTGATGAATAGGACTATATGGTAATAATACTATAATGGCTCATATGTGATAATAATAATACAGTGTGATACTATAATAACAATAATCAGACTGGTACTATAATATAGCAAGTTACAGAAACTATTGTTTTTTCTTTCAATTCTTAGGCTAATAGGAATGTTATACTTATTTTGATCTTCTAACCAAATCAATAATAACATTTCCATTTCAATAATTAATCCACTATGCTGCTTAGTAATAATTGATGTTTTCATTGGAATCCTGCCTTTCACATATTCTATTATTCTCACTTTATCCTTTATAATTGTTCTGACAGTTGAGTGACTATGCCTAATGCTTTCAATGAATGATGACATTTTGTTTCTATGGTAATCACATCTTTCCCTTCCCTGCAGGCTCACCTGAACTTGCAGTGGACATTAGCCTTGGAGGCAGAATAAACTGAGACGCACAAAATCAAATAAAAAGTTAAGACGAAAGTGATGCTGTGCGTGACTCTAAAGAATGAGATCAGCTGCTACTGTAAAGATGCTGTGCCAATCAATTGCTTACTCCATTCAGGTTCATGATTAATTTGATTATTTAATTATAAATTATCCTTAGGTGAACCTTGGGAGCTCGTTCATATGTCTGGAACACTGTAAGTCAGGCCATCTGTAACCCAAGACTGCCTATACTCTAGTCCAGTCTCATACTTAAAATGTGATTGGCAAGAATGTATTAAGAGCCTAGAAATTAATGTGATTGCCTTTAGGTAAATCAATAAGATCAACATGGCATGCTTGAAAAAGTGAATATAGTATAATTTAAAAGTAACTGAAAATAATTCACACTAGGATCACCAAAGGACAGCTTCTAAACTTGTGGGAGGTAGGAGAGAATATCTTATTTAGAAATCAAATATTTACATTAAAAAAATCAATTTCAAATACATGAGACCAAAAAATGTGATTAATGATTTACTTCTATTTGAGAAAATAAATTTTTCTTGACCTAGCTTCTTGAAATTTCCTTGTTATACATAGAAAACCACTGTTATTTATATTTGAGAAAATAAATATTTCTTTACATATCTTCTTGAAATTTCCTTGCTATACATGTAATACCACTATGTTTACTGACACAAGCATAAATAATCTTATATTATGAAAGAATAAAATTCATAATTTGGCTGTGAAGATCTCACTTCTTTTCTGATGTTAACAGTATAATATCCTGATACTTTCAAAGACATTAAGTCAAAGAAGATACCTTCATAGTCCTCATTAAAAAAAAAAAAAAATGACAGCAGATCATCTTACAAATCATGAGCTAAATCCTGGTTCATTATCTGTGTTTACACTACCATGGAAGAACCAAACTTTCTATTCTATATTCTTCCCTTGCCACCCACAACACTCCTTGCTCCTTAGCACTTTTTCCTTCAAAATATTCTGCCAACCAATTCAGGCTCGTTTTAATGGAATAAGGAAAGGAAAAAATGCTGTACAGCCAAGGATTATTTTATAATGTGGTTCACTGCTCTTTGGCAATTTTGCTTAGAAGAAATTGGATTAAGCTTTTTTGTTTTTGTTATGCAATTAATGGTTTATGAATTAAAAAAAATTCCTTTTATAAGTAAAAATACTACACATCCAGTGAAAAAAATCACTTATTTTCTTTTCTTCATGCTTCTCATTCTCAGTATGAGCAAATGTCTATAGCTTTCTATCCTTTTAGGAAAATATCATTCTCAATTCTGTAAGCTGGTCTACTTTCAAGAGGCTTAGGTAAGTTAAGTCTGTGATTCCAGGGTTGACTTCTTTCTTTCTTCTTGCTTTGTTGACATTCCTAACACACCTTAAAGACAATGATAACATTAGAAATGAAGAGCACTATTACATTTATTGTATTTCAACAGATAGATCTAAGTAAGTAGAAATATCCCATGTGAAAGCTTGTGTGCGCTTTCTTAATTCTTCTTTGGTTAGGTCATCGAGCCAGTGGTTATTAGCATTATAAGCAAAACTGTCAATGTGAAACACATTTGTTCTGAAAAATAAAAAAAGGAAAAGTTAAAATCAAAACTATTTCATTTACTAATGAGAAACATTAATTTTTAGTTACTATGTGATAAATTATCAATAAGAATTTCTTAATCTGTAGTGCAAAAGAAATGAAAAATTAGTAAGTTATAAACAACCTTTTACAGTTATAGTTTAGCAGCTATAGCAACAACTACAATATGACAGTTGAGTTTTTAGTTACTTGAGGTTAATAGTGGCCAAGCTAGAATCAATTAAGATGCACTGAGATTAAAAGTCAATGAATTCCTATTTGAGGGATATGTTGAAAAATATATAAAAAAACAAGTCAGTGAAAACCCCCTGAAGGCTACATGTAAAATGGAAGAGAGATTCCTCAAGAGCATTACAAAGTTTTAGACATACATTTAAATCAAGTTACTTTTGTGTAAACACATAAAACAGATATCATTTAAGATTTATAAACATGACCTACAGAAAAAATATATTAACACACATTGTAACATTTCTTAAACACTGAAAACTCTAAAAGCAAGCAGGCAAAGGACAAACATATATAAGACAGGCCAACCATCTCATGATGCAAATTGTCATAATGAAGGCATTCTTTTTAAGTCCTCATGTTCCACATACCCTCCCCCTGTATTTGTGCCATTATGACATTACAACACACTAAGTGCAAAACACAGGATAAGATGATAAGCATACTGCTAACAAGTCCAGAACTGATGATATGGCAGAGTAATGAGAGACTCAATGGGTTAGTCATTCATTCAACAAGGAAGAAATAATTCTGGCAATAGCAAAGATTGAAACCTCTATTATCCCTTAAAGGTCATGGATATTTTACATGATAAAAAATGTGATTTTATTAAACCATATATACCTCTTATAATTCTCCAGAAGATTTTATTTCTGAGAGGCACCAACAGTCACACTTAAATTATAAAATACTGAATATTGTGTTGTTCTTATTTTTTAAGAGCTGAATAGTAGAAAAGAAAAAATAATTGAATTATATAATTTAAATTTCATTCAAAAAGCACAATCAAACAGTTGTTTACACTCCTATCCCTAAACTAAAAATTATCATCCAAATGCAATGCTTCTGAAATAAATAAGTCTTTTGGTAGACAAACACAAAGAATCACTAGATGAAGTTACATTATGACTTTCACATTCATTATATTTTCTGTTCTAACTAAGATCAAATACTTACTTAAATCACTATGAGATCAAAAGGCTAACCAGGTATATATAAAGTTAACTCTTACCCTCAACAGCTTTATACTTCTAAAGTAAGGCAAATGAAGTGATCTTTATGTGTACATGAAAATGGCCAATTCTTTTTTGAGGTTTGCATGATTGCTCTGATTCGGAATGGAACGAGTAGGTTTATCGCAAAATCCCAAAATACAATTCAAAACAAATACAGTAGTCCCCTCATCCATGGTTTCAGTTACTGGAGGTCTCAATTGCACCCTGAAAATAGGTGAGTACAGTAAAAAGATATGTTGAGAGAGACAGATCACATTCACATAACCTTTACTATAGTATCTTTTTAGTAATTGCTCTGTTTCATTATTAGTTGCTATTAATCTTTTACTGTGCCTAATTCATAAATTAAACTTTATCTTACAGGTATGTATGTATAGGAAAAAACAGATTATATATAGGGTTAGGTTCTATCTGTGGTTTGGAATGCATCCCCTACAGATAAAGGGGGGAATACTATATTCTCCCCTTCTACATTTTAGCACTTTTTGTCCTATTCAAAGTATCTTGGCCAATCTCTTTATCAACGTACGTAAAGAAACTGATAAAGGCCATAGAAGACCTGCTAAGTCACGTTCCACCCTCCTGACTCACAGAACCTGAAAGCACTGGTTTTGGTAAACTGACAATACTCTTATAAATTGGTAACTTGTAATTTGATAAATTGATAATAGTATTTCAAAAGGGATCTGAAACAAATGCAAGAGAGTACAGAATATTGGTGGGGTTTTTTTGGGGGGGGGCGGAGTAGTTTTGCTGAGGCATCTGTACCCACTTCACTCATTTTATGTGACTTAGAACTCTGCTAGTTTTTTGCTAGGCTCTAACCCACATTCCAAAGAAGTTTCTAAAGTATCTTGAGGAGAAGTTACATCTTACTAAATTTGATATTGTAACATCTAGAATAGTTTATTGATATTAGACAAATATCTATAAAAACTATTAACTCCTCCCCGGGACCTAATGGTCAAATCCTTTTCTAAAAGACTGATCCATTTAGAGATTTAAAAAATGTTTACATACTTTAGTTTGTAACAGGTTTAAGCAATATGGCTAATTTAAGGGGAATGGAAAGGGTATAAGGGATAAAAAGTACATAACTCACACTGTCCAAAGAATTAAAACTGGTAATTTGATAATATTAAATTGTTTTTCTTATTAGTTAATGAAAAAAATAAACAGGCACGGCCAGCCTGGAAATACTCATGTTTGTATAAACTCCACAATCAAGTTTTTTATACAGCTAAATCTACAAACAGAAAGTATCAATTTAAATCTTTCTGTTTGTTTACAGGATATATCAGAACAAACTATAACATTCTACTTAACATACACAGATTCAATGTAGATATTTCAAATAATACTAATGGTGTGTACGTGTTGCTGTTTTAATATCTGAGTGCTTACTATGTTCTGAGCACCTTACAGGTGGTAATTCTTTGGATCCTTACTATAATCTCATAAGGTAGGTAATATATTTCTCATTTTTACAAATGAGAATACTGTGGCACAAGAAGTTAAATTGCTCACAGTCACACAGCTCCTCAATGGAAGAATCAGAAACAAACTGAGCAGTCAGACACCACAGTCTGCCTTCTTAACCAATGGACTGTTTTGGGCCCACTCTGTTTTAGACTAGCATCTATTTATAATATATCTCAGAAAAGGCCCCAACAGGCAATTTCACAATATGTTAGAGGCTGACTTTTCCTAGATTTGTTTCTGTATAACGGACAGATACTATCACAGATTATATTGAGTAGAAAAAAGGATAAGTTGTTTAGATCACAAACTGAGACTTTGGATTTAGAAGTCACTTTCCTTTGAAATGTGCTTAGTGTTCTTAAATATACTGAGGGAAAAAAAGACACCAAGGCTACTCATCCAGGATAGCAATTATAGGCAGAAGGAATGAAAAGACAGCACGTTAAAAAATGTAATGAAGCTAAGAGAGTTAGCTAATTTTAGTGGAGAGTGTCAAATGTTACTGGAAAGAAGCAAAGAATAAATTTTTAAAAATCATCAGAATTCTGCTCACCCTGAATCTCCATAGTGCCATGCCTAGACTTACGGTAGTAATTACTATAATAGCAGCAACAAATCCTTGAGGGGGAAAAACATGGTAACACAGTTAATAGAAACATGAGCAATTACATATTCTTTTACATTAGTGTAGTTTCACATGATATACATATTGGTTATGAAGTTAAAGAAAAAACAGGCGATATGGATTGCATTTTGTATATGGCTTCCTACTGTCACAAGTTTGACAATAATGCTGCTTGTTATTCATCTTGTTTTCTTTAAAAAAAAGTAAAATAAAATATTTAAAGGGTCACAATTCTAAAATACAAATTTTTTGATGGATTTGCGAAGATTGTGAAGTGTTTTTATCCATCCATGCTCAATTTTAAATGTTTTGATCATTCAAATATGATAATGGAATTATGTCACTTTAGAGCTCAAGAGTATCCTAAGGTTCACCCTCATTTTGTAGGTAAGTAAACTAAATTTCAGAAAGATGGAAGTTACACATGTAGTTAATGAGAGGCATTTACTTAGTTCATAATACAGATTACAAATATGTCGGCATTTCCCCATCATAGGAAAGATGATACCTGTACTATTATCATTTGGGGGATTTGGAGGGCAAAATATATTTACTTTGCCTACAGAATATGCTTTTCAGGGTTCAGTCTACTATATAATAGATGAAATTTAATTTAGAAAAGTTATATTTACTTTAAGGTTAAAAGTTCTATTTTGAACCAAACCATATCAAATAATTGGTCAAATATGTTGATCAGTGACAAACCATTTTTACAGCTTGTTTTATATTCTTTCTTCTGATAACCACTCAATTGCCCTCATCTCTTACCATGCTCATTCTCCCTTTCCTCTTTCTATAACACCTCCCACCTCCACAAATGACTGTGGACTCTATTCCTCTGATCCGTACTACAAAGGAAATTATGGATGATACTAGAAAAACAACTGAGGCTAATGTTACTAATGAGTGTATAATTGTCTAACTTGAGTTGTGCAATCTTTTAGGCTCTCACTACGATGAGAATCTTTCTATGCTATAAAGTACCTGGTACTAGTCATCTGCCTCTATTTACTGCTTATTAGCTCTATGACCTTGGGCAAGCTACTAATCTTGTAAAACCATAGTTCTTTCAGCTGAAAGTGGGGTATAAATGTCACATTGTAGGACTGTTGTGATAAGTTGGTAAGTACATAACATAATACCTACAAAAATCCTCAATGTTCCAGTATTTGCCACAGAACAAACATGTAAATGTTACCCAAATGAAAGAATATTCTTATTCTTTGGTGTGGCCAGGGGAAATAATAAAATTGTCAGAAATCCACCTAGGGAAAATAATAGTGACTGCATGCCATGACTTCTTCAAGTTCATACTTATTCAACTTTACCACTCTGCTAGGAGTTTTCATATTCACCAACACGTTAAGCTTCAAAGACTTTAAACAAGAATCACAACTGCCATCTTATAAATAAGAAAACTGAGATTCAGAGGTTAAATTAATCTTGTGTTAAGTTGAATAATTACTAAAAGAAAAAAAACAACAGAGGATTCAAACTATGGTCTAAGTGGTTTAATTCCAAAGCACAAGTTCTTTCTTCTACCTGATACTGTCTTAACAACAATAGCAGCAACAAAAACCATAAAGCATGTATTCTCAATTGGTGTGATATCTGAAGAAGGTATAAAAAAAGTTTACCGCTTTTTTTTTTTTTTTTTTGAGACAGAGTCACTTTGTTGCCCTTGGTAGAGTGCCATAGTGTTATAGCTCACAGTGACCTCAAACTCTTAGGCTCAAGTGATTCTCCTGCCTCAGCCTCCCAAGTAACTGGGACTATAGGCACCCACCACAACTCCCAGCTATTTTTTAGAGACGGGGTCTTGCTCTGGCTCAGGCTGGTCTTGAACCTGTGAGCTCAGTCTATGCACCTGCCTTGGCCTCCTAGAATGCTAGGACTATAGGCATGAGCCACCACACCTGGCCAAAGTTTACTTTTTTAATGTCTAAGGTCTCTCTCTCCACATGTATATATTTGTGGGTGGTATCTAAATAGATTTGGTGTATTATGTGTGGTGGGAAAGATAAAAAAAAAACCTATAAAGGTCCTTGGTGAGGAAAGGGCAAGACTGAAAAAAAATTGAAAAACTGATACAGAAACATGGAAGAATACTTTAAAAATTTACAACACAAGCTTCATTTACAAGGCAAATAAAAAGTTCTCTTCAGATTAGTCAGTCCCTCTCTCTTAGCAGAATTAAATGGGGGAAAAAGGCAAATACTTCTAAGATCTTCTGTACCATTCACTTATATTGCAGTGTAATGATGAAAAGAGTTTTCTTGCAAGTAGAGTTTACTTTTTTGATTCACAGAATAAATCTAAGAAATAAAGATAACTTTCAGATTTGTCTTATGAAGTATTAGATCACAAAACAAATGATGCCACATCTCTGATTTAAGAAGAAGGGAGCGGGAATTACAAGTAATACTAAATAAGGTTTTCTTGAAAGCCAAAGAATATATACTTTGAGAAATTAAGAGACAAATTAAGTATGTCAAGTCTTCATTGAATGCTACTGAGCCATGAGATTATGCTCATCTATCTATTAAATTCATCATTTTTGTGAACATTAAAACATTAAACCAGAAATTTGCATTTAGAATATGTTTATTTCTGCTTAAAATACAGATAGAACAAAGTGAAATGCAAACTGCTGGGATCCTGCAGGGTGAATCTTTTGGCTTACGAGAGGTTCATTCAAAGAGCAAAATAACCTTAGTAATATTGTTTTTGTTTTCAGTTTTGTCACCTCTTGGTTAATTTACACATGCATAAGATGGAAGACTTCAGCTTATAAGAACATATAAAATAAGCATTTTTATAAAAGTGTATTTTCTATTGGACATTATTTATTTATCACCATACCAAATTAGCTGTATTTCTCCTTAACATTTCTCTTACCATCTTTAAGGGCTAATTAATCTTCTAAATTCATAACATCAAATAATATATTTATAAACAAAAACCTGAACCAAATCCTAGAAAAAAACTGCAAAACAAGTTTTTGGCCTCATAACTACAGCAACAGAATTTTTTAAAGGGTAACTTTGCTGACCTTGGGCAGCCATACTTGGGGTGAGTTGAGCAGCTCCCATGCCCCTTTGTGGCCAAGGGGCACTATTGGAAGGTCAAGGTGTGCCTCCTAAGGAGTCAGGTAAGAGCTTCAGGCTCCCAACCCTGAGCGGACTGAATGCTAGTGAAGCCAACAAACCCTGATTGAGGACAAATAAATCAGGAAGACAGGACTAGGTCTCCTTGGCAACTAGATAGTGGCTTCCAGCTCCCATCTTATATAGCAAAATCAGCTTGCTTATTTTGCTTCTCCTAACACCACAGCGCCACCTGGGGTCCAGGAAATATCTTGCATTATATACCTTTTTTATCTTTTTTTCCCACTGGGAGCACCAGATGTCCACACAAAAATAATACTTTTTTTTCCCTTTCCTTAATTTTTTCCTTAGTTTTGTTTTTGTTTTCTATTTTGTTGTATTTTTGTTTTTTCCTTTAATACTTTCTTTAATAGCAAAGATACCATTTTTTGGTATGTTTTTTCCACCCCTTTCATTCTTTCTTTTCTATTTCTCTCCTCTTCTCTTAGTAGAGAATTTTCTACTTTTCTCATCTTTCCCACATAAATTTCTCAAACAACAATCAGACATCCCTTTATTTTTACATCTTATATAATTTTATTTTCAATTTTCTTTATATACCATTATTATTTTTCTTTTTTCTAATCTGCTTTATTCTATTTCATTCCGTATTCTGTTTATGGGACAGAGCCTCACTCTGAGGCATGGGCTGAGGTGTCACAGTATTGGCCTAACTGAAGGAAGCCTTGAGCCCCTGGGCTACCATTTGGAAAGATGGTATTGGTAGGTCTCCACAGTGATATGCTGCTAAACTTTTTCTAGAGTTGGCAGAGGTAGAGTCTTGCTTTTGCTCAGGCTGGTGAGGAGCTTTTGCTCTTGAGAGACCCACCCCCTCAAGTCTTGCTGAGTCCTGGAATTGTGAGTGTGAGTCAAAGCACCCTGCCAAACACCACTATTTCCCCTCTCTCCTTTCTGCCCTTCTTCTTTCTTAATTGTTTCCTTTCAAACCTCCCCCCTCCCCTTATTCTCTTTATCTTTTTCTTTCTTTACTACCTTCTCATTCTTTTCTCTTCCTTTTGGTGAGTGTCCTGGAAGACACTTCAACACCCAAACACAGAGGTAATTTAGAGTGAAGGAAAAAGTGAGAGAAAAAAGTAGGGAAAGAAAGTGAACAAGAAGAAAATACATATGAGGAGGCACCAATAGAAAAATTCTGGCAAATGAAAAACCAGAAGAGAACAACCCCACCCCCAGCACAAGGAATCGTGGGGTAGCTACCACAAAGAATTCAACCTATAAAAAAATTGCAAAAATGACAGAAAGTGAATTTAAAATATGGATGGCAAAAACAATGACAGGAATTGAAGGAAATGTAGAAAATCAACAAAAAGAAATCCAAAAACTGATGCAAATAATGAATGAAAGACATGAAGAAATGAGAAAAAATGTATCTTAGCTTAAGGAATTGAAAGAGTCAATCATGGAAATTAAAGATGTAGTGGAAATTATCAATAACAGATTAGACAATGGAGAAGAAAAAATGGAGGTAGAGGATAAGGCTCTCGAGCTAACCTAGGCATTTAAAAAGGCAGAAGAGAGAAACAGCAAAGCAATCACTTAGAGAATTATGGAACTTCATGAAGCATTCAAACATACGAATTATAGGGATCCCTGAAGGGGGAGCAAAATGATCCAAAGGAATGGAAGCCCTACTGGAGGATATCGTAAATGAAAATTTCCTAAGCATCATCGAAAATTCCAAAATACTATCAAAACCTGGGTCATCTCAACACAAACAGAGCATCTCCAAGACACATTGTAATAAGCCTGTCCAAAGTCAAAATGAAAGAGAAAATTCTGCAAGCAATCAGGAGTAAGCGCCAAATGACTTACAGGGGCAGATCCATCATAGTGACAACAGACTTTTAGCTGAAACTTTTCAAGCTAGGATAGAGTGGTCATCCACCTTTAACCTTCTTAAAGTAATTTTTAGTCCAGAATTCTGTATCTTCCTAAACTAAGTTTCAAAACTGATGAAGAGATCAAATTTTTTACTAACATGCAAACATTGAGGAAACTAGACCAGCTGTATAGGAAATAATCAGACCTATTCTCCCACTGACCATCACAACAGACCACCAGCAAAGTAAACACCCAGAAATTAAAAGATACAACCTAGCTTCCACAATGGCATAAACGATAAAACTAAGCAACAGACTTTCACAAAATAAGATGAATAAAACTCCACCATAGGTATAATTCTCTCAATAAATATAAATGGCCTGAATTCCCCTCTGAAGAGGCACAGGCTGGCTGATTGTATAAAAAAAGCACAAGCCATCTATATACTCTCTCTAGGAAGCACATCTAACCTCAAAGGACAAAACAAGACTCAGGGTGAAGGACTAGAAAACAACATTTTAGACAAATCTAAATCAGAAGAAAAGAGGGGTTCTAATCTTATTTTCAGAGACAAGTGGATTTATGGCAACTAAAATTAAGAAGGACAGAAAGCGTCACTTCATACTCATCAAGGGAACAATATAACAAGAGGACATTTCAATTCTACATGTTTATACACCTAACAAATACTCTTAGATTTATGAAACAGACCTTAACAGGTCTAAGCAATATGATAGCCAATAATACCATAATAGGTAGGAACTTTAACACCCCTCTGACAGAACTAGATAGATCCTCTAAACAGAAATTAAACATAGATAAATGGGACTTACATGTGACCCTAAAACAATTGGACTTAATAGACATATACAGACCATACCATCCCAAAGCTAATGGATATATGTTGTTACTCCATGGAACATACTCCAAAATAGATCACATCTTAGGAAAAAAGCAATCCTCAACAAAATTAAAAGAATTGAAATTATACCTTTTATCTTTTCAGACCACAGTGCAATAAAGGTGGAATTCAACCCCCACATAAATTTTCATTCTACAGAAAGGCATGGATACTAAACAACTTGTGATGGTTGGGTCAAGGAGGAGATAAAGGAGGAAATTATTAAATACCTTGAATATAACAACAATGAAGTCACAAGCTACCAAAACCTGTGGGATACTGCAAAAGCAGGCCTATGGGGCAATTTAGCACACTGGATGCCCACATCCAAAAAAAACAGAAATAGAACACATCAATAACCTAATGAATCATCTTAAGGAAATGGAAAAGGAAGAAAAATCCAATCCCAAACCCTAGCAGAAAGAAATAAATAAAAGTGAATCAGAAACAAATGAAAGTGAAAACAAAAGAATCATTCAGAAAATTAATGAAAAAAAAATTGGTTCTTCAAAAAGATAAACAAAATCAATAAACCTTTGACCAGATTAATTAGAAACAGAAAAGTAAGATTTCTAATAACCTCAATCAACAACAAAGGGGCACTAACAGAAAAATATTATACCCAGAAATTTGACAACATGGAGGAAATGGACCAACACCTGGAATCACACCACCTTCCTGGACTTAGAGAAAGAAATAGATCTCTTGAACAGACCAATATCAAGCACTGAAATGGAAGAAACAATAAAAAAGATTCTAAGGAAACATAAAAAGCCCTGGACCAGATGGCTTAACACCAGAATTCTATCAAATCTTTAAAGAAGAGCTTGTACCTACACTGCAGAACCTATTCCAAAACACTGAGAAGGAAGAAACCTTCCCTAACATGTTCTATCACCCTGATACCAAAACCAGGAAAGGACTCAACCAAAAAGAAGAACTACAGACTAATTTCACTAATGAATACTGATGCAAAAATACTCAATAAAATCCCAACCAAACGATTATATCTACACATTAAAATAATTATACACCATGATCAAAATTAAACATCAAAAAATAGATTTCATCCTAGGGATGCAAATTCACCATATCAATGCCAGCAAGAACAAAGACCATATGATCCTCTCAATAGATGCATAAAGAGCACTTGATAAAATTCAGCATCCTCTTCTAACAAGAATACTTAAAAAAATAGGCTTAGGTGGCACATTTCTTCAACTGATTGAGGCCATCTATGACAAACCCACAGCTAACATCATACTGAATTGAGTAAAACTGAAAGCTTTTCCACTTAGAACTGGAACTAGACAAGAATGTCCTCTATCACCACTACTATTCAACATAGTTCCAGAATGTCTAGTGAATGCAATCAGGTAAGAGAAGGATATTAAGGGCATCCAAATGGGGGCAGAGAGGTCAAACTCATGCTCTTTGACAATGATATGATCTTATACTTACAAAACCCCAGTGACTAAACCATAAGATTGGAAGTGATCAAGAAATGTCGTAATGTCTCAGGGTATAAAATCAATGTCCATAAATCAGTAGCCTTTGTATACACCAATAAGAGCCAAGTTGAGAAGCAATTGAAGGACACAATTCCCTTCACAGTAACTTAAAGGTGAGAAATATGCAGCTCAATTTATAATCACCAGAATGTGGAGACAACCTAAATGCCCATCAACCCAGGGATGAATTAATAAACTGTGGTATATGTGTACCATAAAACTATCATTTAGCAATGAAAAAAGATGAGGACTTTATATCTTTTGTATTAACCTGGATGGAGTTGAATAACATTCTTCTTAGTAAAGTATCACAAGAATAGAAAAGTGAGTGTCCAATGTACTCAATATCAGTAGATGGTAGATGATTTAATACCTGCTCACTCAAGAGAAAAACTCAATTCAATTCAAGTTGGGGGGAGGGGAAAAGTGGAAGGGGAGAAGAGAGAAGGGAGGGGGATTGGTGCTCCCACTTAAGGGGCACCAATGTAAGGGTACATGGCACACCTTTTGGGTGCAGTACCCAACTTACAATAGGGACTCTAATTAACAAACACAAATATTGTAACCTAATTGTACCCTCACATCAATCTGAAATAAAAAAAGAAAAAAATTTAAGAAAAAAGAAGACAATATTATCTTTCAGAAATATGGATTGTTCACCCCACAACGATAATTCATGCCTGAGAGGCAAACTTACCATGTACAACTCCGGAAGTACCTACAGAAGAAGGGAGAAAAAAAAAGAATTACAAAAATAAAAAATTTAAAAGCCCATTGATTTGCTTAGCAATTTAATATAGGATCAATCAACTGCATTTGAAAACTCCAAAGCAACTCAAATTTCGGTAAGTCAAAGAATTGTAATGAAATTTATGAAAATAATTATACAGTATTAATCAATCAAGTAACTGAAACACCAGTTCCTATGTCAGAATAACATAATCAACACTTTACACATAAGGAGTTATCAAATAACAAAATAAATACCATCTAAATTTGGTTATATAACATGGCAAGAAAGGAGTTTGAAAAGCTTAAATAGTAAATAACTGCTGCTTCCCTCCTGCTATCAAGAAACTACAAGAAATCCAAATCCCTTTCAGCAGACTCTACCAAAACTCAAAATTACCCTAACACCTTATTATTTATATTTTGCAATGACTACGGATGACCACTCAGAATAGGTGATATTATGCACCAGAAAAAGCACAGGATTGGGACTCAACAAATATATGTTTTAACCTCCCCATTAATTATGCACTAGATATGAGCTATACAAGCTAATCTCTAAGCCTCTATCATCAATAAAACAAAACTAAACATACTTACTTTGCAAAGCTGTTGTAGGAACTAGTGTTAACAAATGGAAGGTACATGGTACATGCCGTTGGAGTACACACTTATTAAGTGGCAACTACTATAATTTTTCAGTAAGTGCTAAATATGGTATATTACATTGTTCCCTGATAGAATAAAGTAATTGTACATAAGATCAAAAGTTGATATATTTATTATATTTATTATATAGAGCATGCCAAAAACATGCATACAAAATTTAATAACGGAAAAAACTGTGTTAAAATTGTAATACTCAATATGTACTGATTAACAAAAGATGAGTACAAGACATGTTGAGTACCGCTTTGATAGCACAAGTCAAATGTGACTTTATTACAATTTTAACACAGTTTTTTCCTCTCTTAAAATGTATTTTGGCACCCTCTGTATATTATATATTATTATATAATTACATTTATTATATTTTTATGATATTAATTAATTCATTAGGTTTAAATTTATTAAATTTATCTTGTACATTTTATAGAAACAAATATTTCCACATTAGGTCAACAACAAATTTATATAAAGTGAAATTTATTTTCTTTGCCTTGCCCTTTTAAAAACTGGGTATACATAATCTAAAAGTTTACACCCAGAGAGGCCATAAAATTTTAAAACATCTGGCTCGGTGCCTGTAGCACCATGGTGATGGCACCAGCCACATACACCACAGGCGGCCGCGGCGGCGGCGGCAGGTTTGAACCCAGCCCGGGCCAGCTAAACAACAATAGCAACTGCAACAAAGAACAGCCTGGCGTTGTGGGGGGAGGGCTGTAGTCCCAGCTGCTTGGGAGGCTGAAGCAGAAGAATGCTTGAACCCAAGAGTTTGAGGTTGCTGTGAGCTGTAACGCCTTGGCACTGTACCAGGGGTGACATAGTGAGACTCTGTCTCAAAAAAAAAAAAAAAAAAAAAAAAAATTAAGACATCAAAACCTCCATGCAAGGGTTAAAATTAGTAAACTAAATCTAAATGAATCAATATAAACCACAAAACCGATGTTGAGTGCTAAACATAAAGGTAGATAATGAAACATGACATATTGTTTATATAAATTATAGAAAATAGAAAACAACATTAGTAACTACTTATATATGTACAAATGTAGTATAAGAATTTATAGGTACGTAAGCCCACCAGCCTCAGGGCAGTAATTGTCTTAGGGAGAAAAAACTGGGGGTAGAGAAATGTGCAAGGGAACTTTAACAATAATATCTGTATGTTTAAAGTCTTAAAAATAACTAGGTACTTGAAAAATTGGCTTTAAGATAACATTTATAACATACATAAAATCCTTATGAAAATATGGTCATAAACTATAAAAATATAGTTAAAACAACAATTATTTGATGCCAACTAGAAAGTGCCTGAAAGTAAGCAGGAATTGAAGTTCCTTTTTTAAAAAGGAGAACTAAATGGGGTTTGCAGGCAAGGTTTAGATATGCTTTCATGCAGTGAAGGGCCCAAAGCCACATGGTATGGGTAGCAGGGAGCCCCAGTCTCACTAGCTTGAGAAGTCAGAGGATAGAGTTCTGGCTTGACAGAGCATGTGGAAAATCTGGGGGAACTGATAATGTATTTCTTGACATTTATAGTGGTGACACAAATACTTGCTTTAGAAAAATTATTGAGCCATACATTTATTTTTATGCAGTTTACTACATGTGTGTTCACTTTAATTTAAAAATTAAAACAATTTTTAAGGGTGGTGCCTGTGGTTCAAGGAGTAGGGTTCTGGCCCCAAATACCGGAGAGTTCAAACCCGGCCCCAGCCAAAACCAGGAAACAACAACAAAAAACCCCAATTTTTAAAAAATTGTCTCTTGTTGATATTTTCTAAGAAAGATAAAATAGGTAGTCTTCATTAGAGAGTAAGAATATCTATCAAAATCGCTACATACACACATATTAGGCAAGTTATGAGGCAAGAAGTCACACTGGTGGCCTGAAACAGCATCAATTAGAAAGACAGGTTTCATTCATTCATTCATTCATTCAATATTTATTCTAAAGCTTATAGCATACTTTACTTTCATATAATTATCATCTATAGAGCCTTGTAATAATGTAAACTATTTGAAAGAATCTCTGTATTTGCAATTACTTAGAAGACACTGTTGAAATACTGTACTAAATTAGCAATTTCAGGAAACCTGATTGATCTCTTAATACGCTTTGAGGTATGGGTCTCTATCAATAAAGCAGACCTAGGACTCAAGCTCAAGGATAGTACATTGATCATTACAAAAGTTTTGAGATACACAAAAATCAAGAAATAAAAAATCTCATGGACTGAGACAAATAAAGCCCTCCCAGCAACACCAATAAGCCGAGCAAGGTGAAACTTGCACAAGTCAATCAGAAAGGATGTTGTCAACTATTTCTTGGGAGTGAAATAATGTACCACAGCAATCTATCTCAAAACTTTCATAGTGACTCACATATACATTTGGTTGTTTGAAATGACAAATTCAATGACTCTCTAAAGCTATCATAGAAAACAATTTCTTTACCAATCTTAACTTAACATTGTTTTTTAATGGGGGAACAATCTTTTTCTGTTATTGTAAATCATTTTTTTAAAAACATATTTGCCCTAGCACAATCCAAGTCTGCCTCTAAAGAGAGTCAAAAGCATTAGTATGAAAAACCCTGGCTACAATAAAGTAGAGACTATCTAATTTTACAATCTTGCCAAGTTCGTATTTCCACCACAGCAAATTAGATCCATACTCAGGAAACCTGAACAGTGTCAACTGACCTGAAGGGATATCTCCTCCTTTAGGGAAACTTGTTGCAAGAGGACGCATGGTTGTCCTGGAAGGTTGTTCAGTCTGGGTTGCTGTAATATGAGCAGAAGTGAATCTTTGTATAATCTGGAGACCCTTAGTCACTGTGACATGTATAGCAGTGGGTTTTTGTGTTGCTGGAAGACTTCGTGTAAGTGAATCTTTTTGCTTTGCTGTGGTGAATCTTTGGACAGTTGGTGTGGCCAGTGTAGCAAAAGCATTAGTCATGATGGGATTCTGAGGTGCTGGTAGGGCCTTTGTAGATAGGGTATTCGATGTGACAGGTGTCTGAGTTGTTGCTGGGGCCTTTGTGGCTGCATTATTTGCTGTGGTAGGTTTCTGTGGAATTTGTAAGACTCCTGTGGGTGGAACATAAACAGTGGTAGCTTTTTGAAGAGCTGGTGCAACTCCTATAGCTGGAAGATTTACTGTGGTGGAGTTCTGAAGAGTTGGTGAGATTCCAGTAGCTGGAACACTTACTGGGATAGGTTTCTGAGGAGTTAGTGGGCCTTCTGTAGGTGGAACTTCTACTGTGGCAATTTTTTGAGGAGTCAATGAAACTCCTGTAGCTAGAACATTTACTATAGTGGTTTTCTGAGGCACTGGTGAAACTCCCATAGTGCGAATATCTGTGATGAGTTTCTGGGGTGTCAGTGAGACTTCTGAAGCTGGAGCATTTACTGTGGTAGGTTTCTGAGGAGTTAGTGAGAATTCTGTAGCTTTAACATTTACTGTGGTAAGTTTCTGAGGAGTTGGTGAAACTCCTATAGTTTTAGCATTTACTGTGGT